CAAATGTGGAAGGTATTAAAGAGGACATCGACATGTTTTTTGATTCAAAGCCAAGTGATTTCTTTAATCAGGGCATTAAAAACCTGATTGTAAGATGGAAAAGCATCATCAATAAGTTTTGTTTTTTTTAATTATGCACAAAGCTACACAAAGGCTATCTGTGCTCTGCCCACCATGGGTAGCGAAACCTGGATTCTAGCATTGCAATTCCCCAGACATACCGCTGTGCCACTGGGGGGGATCATCGATAAGAATGGAAACTATTTCATTTAATAAATGTATTGTTTTGATATATAAGTTGTTCATGTTTTTTCATCTAAAAAAAAAGTAACCTAATAGCTTTAAGGTGCAAATACAGATTGCTTTTTTTTTTCTGGTTTAAAAAATAGAATTCTGTTATTAACAAAGAAATGATGTAGGCCAATGTACATGACATTATTTAAAAGTTTGTGATGTTTTTATTGGTGTGAACAAACTATTAAAACCAATATTATTAGAACATGCCAAGTTAGTGTGAAATAACTGTCTTTTCATATTACATTAAGATCTTATATAACACCAAGGAAAAAAGTAGTCTGTTTAAAGTTCTGTGCCAAGTAACAGATTAATACTACACATTACTCCTGTAACTCAGTTATAAATCTACTCTTATATGCAAAAACACTGTGGTATTGTTAATGTCTAACCATTAGGACAGATCCAATCTAAAGAGATATTTGATATGAGTTGAAGTGTCTGACAGTTATGAAAAATGGAGCCTCTACTGGCAGAGGTCACATTTTGGCATGTAATAAATAAATAAGTAGTCTAGATATAAAAGTAAAAATTGTTTCAGAAGGATGAAAAGATGGTGTAGTTCGTACCTTCTTGTTTCACTTAGCAATCAAATATTTTGTTAATCTATTTATTTTATTCCTAATTTGTTTGCTGTTCTGTTTATGATAAAAAATTTCATTACTGAAATGCTCTTTTGAGATTTCTGCACCATTGATCTTTCATTGGAATTTTAAGTGCAGTTTTTGTTTTCAGTCCTCTAGGCTTGTCTTTCCATTGTCTGACAGCTTGTTGTTTACATGCAACCTTTGTTTCTTCATATTTTATTACCACATTTCCACTCAGCATTAACTAGTTTGTTTTGAGGTGGGAAATATTAATATTACAACTTGCCCTTCAGGTTTGAAGTTTATCTACAGAAAAATAGCCTTTTAAGCAGTGCAAATTGGAATATGAAAACAAAATCAATATTTATATCATAGATGAAATATAACTGAAAATTACCCATACATGATATGTCACAATGATCAAGTGTAAAAAAATAAAAAATTACAGCATACAGGCAAAACATGAAAAAAAAACAAATAAAAATTGTAACACTCCAAATGACAACAGATGTAAGAAAACACAATAAGCAGATAAATATGGAACTTAAACTGTAACAGATAAGTTACTCTACAAAAAAAAAAAAAGACACTTTCAATTAGTCTTAATAAGCTATAAAATTCCAAGTTATATACAGGTCATAAACAAGTTAACTTTCCAAAAAATTAGATCCTTTTCTGCATTCAAACAAAACCTTTTTTAAGTTTAACATTTCATACCTTAGTTGCACGTGGTCTGTAGATGCATTGTAAGCAACTGCAATGGACTGTTTATTCTTTTTGTCCTTCTCAGATTCTGAAGATTTAATGTGTGATCTAGAAACAGGATGAACACGGAATTTGAAATACTGCTGTGATTTTCTATTTTCTGAAGTTTTCAAATGATTACTCTGAGCTGGTTCTGAAAGATTTTGGGTGCAAGGTTCATTCTTGTGAGTGGATGGTTTGTCAGAAACACTGTATTGGTTTTTTACTGCAAAAGTTCTTGGATGTTCCCATGCATGGTACTTCTCTTCCCAAGTAAATTGGGTTGGATTAACAAGAGCAACATGATGACTGACTGGATTGGGCATTAATCCCTTAATGATGACCCTTTCCCAAATTCGACTTGCTGAAAAATATAAAAGATAGTGTACAGGTATCTCAGGACTGAGTAAAAATAATTTTTTTTGTAGAAGACAAAGAATATTTTACATTAAACTAGTGTTGTCTGTGTTTTAATTGCAACAAAGTAGTAACAGTCATGACTTGTTTGTTTGTTGTTATGTGCAAAGCTACACAGTTGGCTACCTCTGTTTACCATGGAGATCAAAACCTGGTTTGTAGTATTATAAGCCCTATAGTTTACTGCTGAGCCACCAGTGCAGCAATTGTGATAATATAGCAATAAAGTTCACAGTTATGGAAAGGCTTTTTAACTTACTGATAATCTGATGAAGAGAATATGTATGTTACAAAACAATTAACTGCCAATCAATTACAAATCATACCAGAACAGAGAAATTAATGAAAAGAACATATATACAAAATACAATCAAAATCTGACATAATGAACAATTCCACTTATTTTATTAAAAATCTTTGATGTTAATTAAAATCACAAATACTAATGCAACATATCTTTTATTACTAAAAAATGATTTCTGTTAGACCAGTGTTTCTCAACCTGTGGGTCATAAAGCAATTACAGGTGGGCTGCAAAAAGGCTTAAGATTACATGAAAATATTTTTCTAAATGTTGCAAAACAGCAAAAATATAATGCAAACTACATAATACGTGGCAAAATGTTAACTATTAACGTCACATGCATGAACTCAGCATAGCATACATGTCATACTTCTATAATTTTCTGTGGTGGGCCATCTTACCAAAAAAGGTTGAGAAACTGTATTAGACAAAATTAAAAGAAAAAGCATAATATACGCTACTCGTCATTTTAATGAACTGGAGATTGAAATTTGTTTCAAGTATTTCTAGGATATTGTTGATTATTTTTGTGACAATTGATATTATTGGAACTTTGATTAAATGATTGTTGGAATAATCATAAACAATAATAACTGGAAACATTAGTTTTGAATAATCAATTTAATTGTAATTTTGATTAATCAGTTAGTTTACATGACATTAATTGATGTAATCATTGCTCATAGGTAATTGATTAATCAATTAAATTTCCCCCAGGAAGGTCACACAGAAATCCAGGGGCACCATGCCTTTAAACTATGTTCATATCCATACTCACAAATTATTGGGATCAAATTTGGCACGTGCACAAGTACAACAGGTAGGTGTCCTAACATGTTTTTTTTGGGGTACAGATCCCCTTTAAGGTACATATAGAAATAACTGGGGATAATGAAGAAACGTGACTGGTACACTGGAGTCTCTGTGAATCATGAGACACCCTTTGAAACCTGTAGAAGAGCACTGCATTTTTTGTTATTTACATAACAAACACAAAAACTACAGAAATAGAAAATTAATAGTAAACTTACAAAAATTGTATATTTACCTTTCTACACATGGAGCAAAACTTATTTCATATTTTGAGAACAAAATTTCAACCACGAGAAATAAAGACATAATATCACAGAAGCTTTTCTTCAGTCACGAGCTTGAAGAAACATGAACATCATTATCTTACAATGTAAAGTTTCTTCTAATATGAGAAGTACTAGTGTTCTACAACATAAAGTTGGATTAAACATGAACACTGTTAGAGTACTGGTGTAAACATGAGAACAGTATTTAAGTTCCTGTAATGTAACATTTCAGGAAAAAATATTAATATTATTGTTTTACTATGTAAGATTAGATCAACAAAAAGTGTCATACAGTATAAGATTAATTTGAATATAAGCACTATTACTTATTACTTGGCTATAAGCTACAATATGACCTACATTAAGTGTCTTAGAAATTACACTTAGACAGATAAAACATAACTTAGAACAAGATTGAATTTAACAAAATAAAAACATCACTGTAGTTATATTAGTGATAGAAGACTGAGAAGCACATTAAACAATTTTATAAATAATGAATGTTATAACATTAATACAATGTCAATTAACTTCTCTTAACAATTTTCAAATAAAAATAATTCAAAACAGATATTTATCCCTAGATGTCTTCTTTGATAGTTTTAGTATATTACACGTTTTTTATCTGAAAATGTATTACAGATACTTACTCACCTGTCTGAGCTATTAAATCGCATGCACATGGGTTTAATGTGAAAAATATTTAATTTCCTGTAATGTAACATTTCCGTAAAAAATATTAATATTATTGTTTTACTAAGTAAATTCTTAAGCATGCCACAACTCTTGAACAACTATCCCATCCCTACACATGTATTGCAGCAGCCTATGATGTTATCATCATTAGGCTACAGATCTCCACCAACAGAAGGATGACAACCTCCTTGTATAGTAATCACCAAGACTACTACCATTAGAGCAAAGGCTAATTTTGGTAAAGCATATGAAATGCACCAGAAGTGGGGAAGAAGGGTGGGAAGCAGTGCAGGGAGGTAAGTTTCTATATACGAAATACTTTTTTAGGTGAGGAAAATGTTAACTTTAAATATGCTACTCGCCTCTCTGCTACACAGAGCTAGAAACCTCCACAGAAGATGGTGGATGGAACAATACCCAGAAAGAATTTACAAAGACCAGCTCCTTTCTTAAGACAACATCATAAAGGAAAAACTCACAGAATGTGACATCCATAAAGCAGGGGTAGCTTAGTGGGTAGCATTTGGTAGGAAACAACATCCTCCTCATACAGGGAATATTCTTTGTCCAATGGTATTGTGGTATTTGTTGTTAAAAGAGGAGGAAGAGCAAAATAAAGTGTTGATAAGGTGGCCAGAATGTAAGAATGCTCAACCAGCCATTATCTCACAGATGAGCAGCTGAAAACATATTTCAGATAGATACTCACCTTTCTGCACCACAGAGAGCTATTAACTCACAAGTACTGCCACAAGCCTTGAACAAAGTTTCCATCTCTACATTTGTACTGCAGCAGCCTCTAAAGTAATCATCATCAGACTATAGCGTAGCAAGAGCTATAAGTCAGGTTGTTCTATAGTGGAGAAATACTTATATGAGATACTCACCAGAATAATCTGGTGAAGGAAGAAGCATCCCAGGCACGTGTCTTGATGCAAACCCAAGGCCATCCAGTTGAAGCCAACTACCAAGAATGGCTTGGTTTATATCATAGTGGGGTGTCCCAAATTACACTACCAGGCAACATCCCAGCTCTACTTTCTAAATAAGGGGGGTGCATCCACTTGATTTCATACCTGTGGCATTGTACTGACAGATGAAAAACTCTCCACATGATCTTCCAAGTAAGTTGGAACTAGGGAAACAAAGGTTCCCCAGTACTCCAGTAGAAACAATGGGGAGGGAGGAATTTAAGTGGGGTAATTAGAGAGGTACTTGGAACATGTCATCAGAAACAGTCACCTACAGTTAAGTCCTACACCGAGAAATTGTGCAATGGGTTACCATGGCTAAAGTTAGCAGGTGTGAGGGCAGAAACACACCTGATGCTTTTTATTTTTTCCCCAATTGCAGAATGGCTTTGAAAATTCCATCTCAACAGCAGGCAGTGAGAAGGGGTGTATGGTTTTAGCATTTTTCTACTCCCCCCACTTGATGTGAATTTTTGTTAAGTATTCCCTATAAAGCAACACTGGCCACTCAGCGAGTTCCATCATCTTCATAATATAGACCTAAAAAAAGAATGAAGAAAAAAAACTAATCACTATCAGAGTTACTGTGAAGATTGTAGGATGGAGACTGGAGGGATACAAAAGCCAGGATAGGTGAAACCTCCCTGTGGTGTAAGTAATGGGACACTGATATGTCAGGAGTTGTCTATATCTCCATCTGTGAGACCACCTGCAGGGGACATCAATGGCTAAAAGCAAGAGAAAGAAGAAACCATCTGTATGGTGGTGTATGACCCAATCAGGCAGAGTAGAATGAGGTAAGTTACTAGAGGAAGAGAAAAATCCCACAACAAGATGTTAGAAAATGCTTTAAAAAGAGACTGGACAAGTGTGATAATAATGAATAGACTATACAGAATTAAAGAGACAATCTAGGTTAGAATTACCATATAGGGGAAAAAAATGGAAAAGAAAATGAAGGGAGAAAACATCAAACCACCCCCACAAGCCACATCAAGTTTGGGGCAATCATGGAAGAAGATGAACCTGTCCTTGTGGTAAACAGTGCAGAAGAAAACCAAGACAAAAGTCAGTCATGGCTCCCATGAGGGAGAAGTTGAACAAATATGTCCGAAGCATACATAAAAAGGTTAAACCACTCCAGACACATAGCATCATTAGCCAAAGCTGTAGAGTCTGGGAATGGATACCATATGAGTGGAAGCAAAGAGTGAAGGAGAGGTGGAAAGACAGTGATGATAGGATGACCAAAGAGAAATTTGTTTGTTCTAGAGCAAAGCCACATCGAGCTATCTGCTGTGTCCACTGCAGGGAATCAAACCTCAGATTTTAGCATTAGAAATCCAGAGACTTACTGCTGTCCCAAAGCGGTCACCCATAGAAGAGCAAATGCACCAAAAACACCAGAGCATGAAGAAACCTCTCTGGTGGAAGGTTCTAGGCCTAGGTGAGATAGTCAATCTGTTACCAGGGCCTGAGCTTTCAAGACATAATAAGATCAACAACTGAAATGGTTGTGGGCTCAAAATTTAAAATCCAGAGCCAGGAAAACAGAGATCACAGGAGTGAGTGCCACCCTCTCAGGGAAAGAAAGAAACAACAGAGATGTCTGAATGGACCATAAGAAGACCAGGCAGATGGTAATAGCAAGCCAGTAGAGTAACCATCAACTGAAGGATGTAGAGATTGAGAAATCTTATCCCTGGAGACCAGAAATGATCAAGCTTCCAGAACTGGAAAGTTGTGGTCATAGAATTGGTTGTCATCAAGTTCAAAGCCAACACAAACTGATCCATTTTCTATGCTCACCATGGATATGAAAGTTATAATTTTCCTCCACTGAAAATGTATTTCCAATAGGTACTTACTTCCCATCAAATAAACAGCTATTCTCTTT